AGGCCTTTCTCATTCCCCTTCCACGTGCATGTGCTGGTGGCAGCTCACACTGGATCATTACTAAAGCAAGAGGATGCTTTCACCACGTTTATGGAATGTTTATTGCTGGTGTGTGTGGTGGGAGAAGAACAAACACACTGGTGGGGAGTTGTCCAAGGTTGCTGTTGGGTTTGTGCTGGCAGGGCTGTCCTGTTGAGGTGTTTGCACAGTACAGAGCCTGACACTGTGTTTACTTCCATTAACTAACACTTATGGTACCTTTAAATTTTCTATTTTAACATGGTTCTTCAGTGCTGTGTTTTACACTTAGCAGGACAACTGAGTTTGAAAGGAAAATCCCACGGGTCAGGTTTTTCTGCACACAGTGTCAGTGTTCCTTTCTCACTGTCACTGCTGTGAGGACAATTAAAACGAGTTTTAAGTTCCTGTCTGTCCCCACAGTGCCTGCTGCTGTTACTGCCTGTAGGTTCCCAGCAGCAGCAATGAACTGTTTGATCTGTATTACACATGGCACGAAGGTCCCTCTGATACTCTGAATCTTTTGCAGGATGTGGTTTTGGGGTTCTGACCTTCCCTGGTTTGGTTTGTCGGGGCAGGAAACTCCTCCAAGCTGTCAGCAGTGTCAGCCCCGTTTGCTGGAATGTGCCACTCTGGGTTTGATGTGACACCAGGTCACCTCCCAGAGGGAAAGGCTTTCCCAGGGAAGTTGTGGCACCAGCTGTACCCTGTCCTGGGGGAGCTGGGAGGGAAGGTGAGTGACAGGTGGAAGTTGGGCTTGTCATCCCTCGGGATAAGGCTGGTTGGACCAGATTTAGTGGCATTCCGATTCATGGCCTGACTCTCACTTGCTCCCTGCCCTGTTCCTGCTGGGAAAACACAAACCAGCTCCCTCCTCCAACCACACACTGAGAGGGTGAGCAGGAATCCAACACCGTCACTGCAGACCCTCCTTCGCTCCTGTCTCTGCCCTCGCTGCCTTCTCACCTGCTCTGTTCTTTGGATGCATCTTCACCAGCAGCTGGGACACTGAGAGCCCCTCCCAGATGGTTTGGTTGGCAGAGAACATCCCACAGCTCCTCCATCCACCCTGAGCAGCCTCGTGGAGCAGCTGGAACACCGTAGGGAGGTGTTTGATCCCTATGCCATCACACACCGGCACATCCCTCCAAGGGTGTCACTCCCCACACCTTATCTGAAACCCCTCAGTGAGCAGCACAGAATCCCCAGCCTGCAAGGATTGGGGCTGATATCACCAGCCCCTTTCAGTATTTCATGTGTGGAACATCAAACCACTCCCTTCTGCGTTCTCTCCTCCTTTATCTCAGGAGTGTTGAATCGCTGCAGGTTTTTCACTTGAATCACTTTGTTACCTTAAACCATTTCCTCTCAAAACAGTAATCCTTATAGGATTATTATTAATTACTCAGTTTTTGAATGAGCTTACTGCTCATTAAACATGCAAGGCTGATTGTTATCTGCTGGTTTGAGGCCATGGGTTTGCATCACCCTGCTTTTGCTCATGTAGTTTTCTCAGCAGGTTTTTTTTTTTTTTATTTATTATTGCTATAACTGAGGCATATTTCAAGATTTCCCAGTTTTAACTTTGAAAATCCCCTCTCATTTATTTGTCTTTTCCCCTCTCTGTCTCACCCTCACAGGGACATTTTGACTTTACTATTATTTCTGCAGTTATTTGATCCACTTTGGGAAGTTTCAGAGGGGGCCTTTTCCCTTGTTGCTCTTTGAAACAGTTTTGCAGACCTCTGAGGCCCGAGATGTCTGAATTCTGCTCTGCCCTCAGGTCTGCCCTGCACAATAAGGGCTTTGTGTCCCTTTGTGTTTCTTTGCTGGGCTCTTTTTCCTGTCAGTCTTCACCAAACTCCAGCACCACCTTGGCAAAGTAAATCCAGGCAGGTTCTTGTGTTGGGAGTCAGGTTAATTTTTATGCAGCTGCAAAGACAAACATTTCACAATATAAATTGATTTTTTTTTGTCATCACTTAGCTTGTTTAGCCACTTAAACAGATGCATTTTTGTACTCCCTGGGGTTTTGTTTCTTGGTTTTTTTTTTTTTTTTTTTTTTTTTTTTTTTTTTTTGAAAAACAGTCTCCTCTGAATGAAATCACTGCTCCAGGGGAAGAGAAAGGGAGGAGGTGGCTTCCTGGGCTGGATCAGCTCAGCTCAGACTTCCAGACAGCAGGATAAGTCGATTTTTTTTCCCTGTTTTTTATTTTTTTTCCCTTTCCAAGCCTCTGGTACTCTCCCCCGGGCTGAGCTGCCTGGCACTGGGAGTTGCCAGTAGTTTTACTGTGGCTGTGATAAACCAGGGTGACGTCTCAGCCAGCAGACTGCTTTGTTTGACTGCCTTGTAACTCCCTCCTTCTTCTTGGATTTCACTTTCTGATTTGAGTTTCCTTAAAAAAGCAGCTTTGTTTGTTCATGAGTGCCCTGCTGGGGTTTTTGCTCAGCTCTTCCCCTGCCCCATCTTCCCAACCTGCCACCTTTTCACAAGTTTTTAAATTACAGTTTGTAGGGAATAACGCCCAAGAAAAGTCAATGTTTAATGTTTACTTTGCTCTGCTGGTGATGAGGATTAGACATCCTGGAATATTATGGCCTGGATTAAAAGACAAGGCAGTGACAGATTTCTGGCTTCCAGTAACGGGCTCAAGCACAACTGTTACGTGATGAACCCCCCGCACCACGAGCTGGCTGGAATTCCAGGATATTCCTGCAATAATGAAAGGTTTGGAGTTCACTGCCAGCACAGCTCTGGTAGAGAAAACCCAGAGTGTTGCAGAAACATCCAGCAGAGTGGTGAGGCTGTGGAGGAGATCCCGAGGGATTGAGGGAGCGCCGTGTCCCGGCTCGGGGGCTGCAGCAGCGCCCGGCGCACCAAACCCAGCGCAGAGAACGGGGCCTCTGGGGCAAACAGTTACAAAGCAGAATTCCTCTGGCTCAAGAGAGCTGGAGCCAAAAGCTTCTTGGCATCCTGAGTGCATTCCTTTTCCACTATGTGCTCAGAATAACTGGGGACTTTTTGGAGCAGAAGTGGGACAAACGGACTGGAGGCGGAGGCTGAGCTCGGTTCGGCTGCAGATTGAAAAGCACCGGCAGGTTTTGCTCGTGGCACTGGATGTTGTGGGGCTCCAGTCCTTCGTTTCTGAGTCAAATAATCCAAAAAACCTGTCTGGCCTAAACAAGAGCAGATGCTCTCTGTTGTTTGTTGGGTTTGAATGATACAAAACCAGGAAAGTTTCGGGACAAGTCGGCTCTGCAGCCTCAATGTGTGTGACCTTTTCTGGTCCTCACTGGGCACTTCGACTTTGGCTGAGGAGGATGGACCTTAGTGAAAGCCACAGCTCTCTCTGCTGTGCCTGAACTTTTAAACACTTCTCTGTTCAGTTCAGTGATTTTCTTTAAAGTGGCTTTGCTTTGGGTTCCCCCATCCAAAGCTCAATGGGATGGGGGCATCCAGCCTTGTGCTGTTACTGTGGTGTCACCTCAGGGGCTTTGCTCTGAGTAGCTTGCTTGAAGTTGCCATAAAACTTGAAGATCAAGATAATTTCTCAGTCAGAGAGTTGTTTCTGCTTCATAATGTGAAGCCTGGGCAAGACAAAATGTGTATTTTCCTTAGATGGGATGAAGTGTTGTCTTTTTCCAAGGTAGATAAGATCTTACACGTGGCAAAAAAAAAGGGCAGATGAGTATAAATCTATAATTTACCTGTAGGAAATGTCTGTTCAGTGTAAACACAGCCATGTGACTCTGGTGGGAATTGCTGAAGTGCACCCTGCTATCTGCAGGACAGCAGTGTGGTTAAATATTAACAGCCATAAAACACAGCTGGCAGACACGGAGTGCAGAGCGAAGTGATTCCTCATGGAAGTGTCTGCTGAGGGGGGAACACACAAATCCACCTGGCTGGAATCCTCCCAACAGCCACACCTACCTGTCGTAAGAGCAGAGTGCCCAGAGGAACCAAACTGACTCTGAACCTTTCTGAGACACTTTTGGAATTTGTTCTCCTGAACACGAGAAGTCTCGTGGCAGCTTGTAAGACAATCATTAATCTGCCACCAGTTTTATGCTTTACTTTGCAAAGATAAAGGAGGCAATTTGTAATTTATGGCAGAAAGACAACTTCCTTTTTCTTTCAGGTCTTCATTAATGACCCTGATAAAGGTTTGAACAAAACCAGCTCTGTTTATTGTCCACAACAAGGTATTGGGAAGGGGAGTCAGAGCTGACAGGAGGGACACTTGTGGAAAGGAGTCCATCAGCTGCAGGAACATAAATGAGTTTGAATCCTCCTGGCCTGGTGTGCAAAGTCTTTCTTCATTCTCCCCACTGTGATGATGGAAGAACTGGCTGGGTTTTGGGAGTCGTGCTCGTTAAAATTACTCTTGGAAGGACCCAAATAACAAAAAGAAAAATCCACTGAAACTCCTCTGATTCAAAGCACACCTCAAGATCTGCCATTTACAGCAGCTGCTTTAACTACTGAGCCAGTTTGCTCTTCAGAGGATCAAATTTTATACCAAGATTCAAGGTTTCCAGTGCCTCATTCCTACCCACTGCAAACCCAAGCTTTTCCAGCTCAGCCATCCATCCATCCATCCCTCATTGTCAGGGCAATCATGAGATCCATGCCATCACTGCTGCTGCTGCCTAATGGACCTTTGTTGTGGCAGGACAAAGCCTTTACTGAGGAATTGTCTATAAAAAAATGGCTTTGGGATATGAGTGAATTGTCAGTGAAGTCTCTATGTACTGGCAGTTGTGTTTCCTGCAGTGCCATCGAGGTTCTCAGTGCCTGGGTGCAGTTGGCTCCCTGCAGCCTGCACAGCCACTGACAGAAACAACTGCAAGAGGACTCCAGGCAATCAGCAGTGCCTTGGAGAAGAAGGGGGGAAAAAAAAAAAAAAGGATGATAAAGAGCAAAGAACAATCTTGGTGTTGGGGAGCTGGCATCCAAAGGTGTGGCTGCTCAGAGGGAGATGTCGGATCGTCCTCGGTGAGAGGGAATTTGTGTTGACTGAAATATTGTTGGGTTGTATTTCACGAGGATGTGACGGGTCAGTGGGTTATTACTTGGCTTCACGAAAGTGAGAATTTCAGCTGCTGCTGCTCGGTTTGCCTGTCACTAAAACCCCTCAGAGCCCGTGGGCACGTGGGGGTGGCACCTCTGTACCCCCTGACCGGTGCTGTGTTCTCTCTGCAGGCTGGCAGCGATGGTGAGAGCATAGGAAACTGCCCCTTCTCCCAGAGGCTGTTCATGATCCTTTGGCTGAAGGGAGTGGTGTTCAGTGTCACAACAGTTGACCTGAAGAGGTAAGAAAGACCTGATTTATGGGGCAATGCGGTGCTCTTGGGGTAACAGGGGTTTGCAGGGCTGATTCCCTGAAATTAAGGAGAAAAACCAAGTGTCTGTAAGCAAAAAGGAGGAGTCTGGTAAATCCTCTTAAATTTGTTCAGTGATGCTCCTGGAAAACTTAAAAGCTCACATGAACATTATAACTGACATAGAAATGTTATAACTGAATATTGAATCTTGCTTTGCTAACTTCACATCAAAAACTAACTTCACATCAGAAAACTGCTGGGTGGGTGTTTTGGTCAGATCTCCAGTGGTTACTGGATAACTGTCACAGATAATGTGCACCCTCCTCCTTTTCTTCAAGACTTTTAAGATGATTTTGCTTATTTTGCTGTAATAACAATGAAAACAAATACAAGCCAAGTGGGTAAGGAATAAAACGTGGGATATTCTGGCTCTGTGCAGTGTCAGCCTGATATGTCACAATGCTGTGTGTCACTTAAAAAGCAGCTTCTCCACTTTGAAAAGGTGGCTGAGGAAGGTGAGAAGTGAATCCAGGAGTCTCAATTTCCTAAAATTGGGTGTTCTTTTTTTTTTCTTTTTAAATGCTAAATTCAGCAGAGGCTTTGTGTTTGCTTTTGGTGTGAAGTAATGTTTTCCCAGCACTCCTGGAATACAATGTTGGTCACTGAGCTACAGACAGAGAGAGGGGGAGGCTGCCAGTGCTTCCAACCCTGATTGTCAGGAATGAAGCCAAGGGAAATACACCCTGCTCTCCTCTGAACCCAGCATATAAGGAAGAAATCACCCTGCTAGACTTAACCTCTTAAATTTCCTTTTTTTTTTTTTGAAAGAGGTGATTTGTTTGGATTTAAAAAAAAAAAAAAAAAAATCCACACCACTGGAGTTGCCGCTTCGGGGCTGGCAAGGAGTGTTAAAGACTTCCATGTGTGGTGGGGCTGAGGCAGGAGGAGAAAGCAGCTTTTGTCAGCTGTGTGAGCATCTGTAGCTGCTCAAAGACCCTGCCTGCAGATACTGGAAGGCAGTGGAGAACATCTTCCATCTGTGGGTTCAGGAGCAGAACTTGTGCCCCTGAATGTCTGTAGCTTTGGACTTCCTGTACAGTTATTGGGGTGGGGGAATGAGAGGAAGGTGAAAAGATATATTTTAGACCTGGAAGAATTTTTACTGCTGAACCACTCAGAGATATCATTAAAATGATGAATTGGCTTTATTCGTGTCCCTGTGGCAACTTGGAGTTTAACTGGCTGGGGGAATGGGGTGTAAGAGGAACTTGTAGTGGAGAAATTGGTTGCAGATGTTTAAAGCTGACCTTTCTTACACAAGGAAAGCTTTCTTTCAGGTTTGGGGTTGGGTTTTTTTTAAATATTGGGGAGGGGAAAACACAAAATAAGTGCAGAATTAAGGAACTGCAGAGGAATAGGTCAAATAAATTCCCATTTTGTTGTGCACTGGAGGGATTTTCTGGTGAAGGAAACTAATTCAGATTTTTGAATAGATGTTGATACAAACTTAATTCCTGTTAGACTTCAATTAAAGCTTCATAAATACAACTCTTAACATTCTGGATTGACCCAATATCCTGTTGAAGAATAGCAGAATGTCAAATCCACTACCTGCTCAATTGGAAATGTTTGATACCAGATGGGGTTGTTTTCCCTTGCTATCATTACCAGGATGATAACAGCTGTAGGTGTTGCCTTAATACTTCTGATATTGTCACAAGAAACTGCTTTTCAAGCACGTCATTCATTCAATTATCTCCTCTGCTTTTTGTTCCTGCTAAAACCTTTTGTTGAAGAGCACAGTAGTAATTGTTTTAATCATCTGAATTAATTTTATTAGCAACAAAAAAAAAAGGCTTTCCTTGCAAAAAATAAAAAAAAAAAAGGCTTTTCTCTGCCTTGTTTGTGCACAACAGCAAGGCCAGCTCTGTCTGTTTGTGAGGCTTAAAAAGGTCATGGTTGGGTACAAAAGTTCACCAGTGGGGAACTTGGGATGCTGGAAAAGCTGAGCCTGGCGTGGCTGAGTGCAGGGTGGGCATTTTTCCCCTCCAATGATTGCTCTGCACATCACTCTGTGCTGACAGAAAGGAACATTTTACAGTTGTGGGGCAAACAAAGTGGCACATCCCACCCTTCCCAAGGAATTGGGCATTTCTTGCTTCTCTTGGGGCAGACAGAGGGTTTATTCTTCCCCTTCTCAGCTGCTGTGGAACTGGGCACAGGGGGGGTTATTGCTGATTTCCCCCCCCCCCCGTTCTTCAGCCCCTCCTTACAGTTCATGTGTCATTTGTAAATCACTGCAGCACACACTGCATTTGGGGGCTGGATTTGCTCTGATCTCCAAGAAATGATTTTGCATGCCATCCTGGTTTGTGGCAAAGCCAGGAAATGTTTGCACCTTATTTCTGGTGTTCAGGAACCTGCCCACTTCATTAGGCAGTGACAGCCAGATCCTTAATTACATGGCCCTGCCTCCAAAAACCCAGGCAGGTACAAGCTGTCATGGAATTGTTTGGAGTGCTTATTCAAGGTTTTTTTTTTTTATTATTAGTTTTAATTTGCCTTTTTTTTTTTTTTCTTTTTAAGCTCTCCAGTTTTATCTCTGAAGTAAAACTTCACTGTGATATTTTTAATGGCCTTGTTGTTTGGCTGTTGAGGGAATTTTCACTCTCAGCCTTTTAAGGCCATTCCTGTGTTCTGGGTGCTCCAAAGGCTGTGGCTCCTCTGTGGTAAACCAGGGTTTGTTTGTTTGTAATCTCCTGGCAAGAGAAGCGAACTGGAAGTTTAAACCCCTGTGTGATGTTTGGGCCTTGGCTGGGGGATGTTAAATCCCTGCTCTCTTTTTTTCTTCAAAGAATCCAGGTGGTCTGGCTGGATTAATAAAATGCTCTGGGGTCCTTGAGGTGCACTCTGATTCTTGGGAACACTTTTTTTTTTTGGTTAGTTCATCAGACCAGTCTGCTTCTAAACTAAATTAGCCTTGCCTTTGATAGTACTGCTGCAAATCCGGTGGTCCTGCCTGTGTTTGTTTTTAAAATAACATTCCTTTTGAGGAATTTTATCTCTCGGCCATGCAGAATTGGAAGGGAGCCCACCAGGACTTCCTGTAATTGTTGGGAGTTACAAAGCTGTATTTAAATGAAGTGTTAAGCTACTTAAAGCATCAACCAATGACAGGCTTTGAATCCTAAAAGTGAGAGAGTGATGGCAGCTACTCGTGAGAAATCACCTCTTTGAAGGTTAAAAATTGAAAATAGCCAAATTCCTGTATTAATAAGACTTGTGTTATTAATCTAGAGCAGTGTTTAGAATATTCTAAAGTGTGAAAATCAGTTTTGTCATTCAGTGCCAGGTAAGCACTGTGAGAGGATCAGCAGTGAGCAGGACATGAAATTCTGGCAGGGGATCTTCGTTTTGGGGGAGAAATGGAAAACAAACATTTATATTGTGCTAAGTTTCCAGAGTGCCCCTGCCAGCCCTGCTTTGTCCTGCTGCCCTCCCTGGCTGTGTGTGTGGAGGTTTCCCTGCCCAGCACAGCCAGGAGGATTTCCTGTAAATCCATCCCTCCCCCAGGTGTGCTGCTCCTCTTTGTAAACAGCCCCTTTTTACTGGATGAAACTTCCAGCATAATTTTAAATTTGATGTTTAAAGCATCTGTCAGCTTGTCCATACCAGATGCCCTGGGCACGTGAGAAATGGTTTATACACACTGCTGTGTACCAGAGCTGCTCATTTCTCATTTACACAGCTCTGTGAAGGGGGAGGATTATCACTGAGCACAGATTATTCTATATATAAACCTTCCTGCAGAGCTTGGGAAAGAGAGAGTGTGTCTGTGTGTGGGGGGTGTGTGTGTGTATAAATATCCCCCTGCCAGTCAACATTGTATTGATTTGAGAATAAACATGGCCAGGGCTGGGAGGAAGCAGTTGGTTTAAAGTGTTTTAAATTGTTATGAAGTATTTTCCAAATGCTAATCAGGTTGTAAACTCGCCCTTTAAAAAGCAAACTGGTGATGTCTTTTTAAGAGTGTGAGGATGGGAAGAGCTCAGGCAGTGCTTTTGTGGTTGGAGCAGGGGAATGGTGTTCCCTGCTTACTCTGGTCTTGGTTTGTGTTTCACCCTAGAAAACCAGCAGACCTTCAAAATTTGGCTCCAGGCACTCACCCCCCCTTCATCACATACAACGGGGAAGTGAGAACAGATGTGAACAAGATTGAAGAGTTCCTGGAAGATGTTTTGGCTCCACCCAAGTAAGTGTTAAAATGATGATTTGCCCCCTTAGATAAACACTGTTCTCACAGGGCTTTCCTGCACGAACGATGATGTTCCTCAGCATCAGTAAACTGAAGACATGGAAAACAGTTTGGAGTTGGTGCTTGTCACACCTTCTCCTCTCCAGCTCCCTCATCCCTGTATTAAGAACTGTTTTCTCTGGTAGATTATTTTCCCAGTTGTCCTCTGTGGGGTCCTGTCCCCCTTCCTGCAGTTCCAGGCTCAGTGTTGTCCTGCTGTGTCCAGACCTTGATCCCTGACTATGAACTGTTACCTGCTTGAAGCAAATGCCTGATTCAGAAAGCAGGGATATGCTCTGGTGATCTGAAAAGTGATTTAGAAGTGGGTTTAAAAATCTTAAATGGAAGTGTGTGATTTTACATTTCAGAAGCAACTCTGAAAATGGATAAATTGGAAAACTTCATTATGTAGAATATTTTTAAAAAGGGCCATTTTGTACCAGTTAGTATATTATGATGACCATCATTGTGCTAAGTGTGCTGTAATCTCCTCCTTTCTGCCTTCCAGGTACCTAAAACTTTCACCAAAGCATCCAGAGTCGAACACTGCTGGGATGGACATATTTGCCAAATTTTCTGCATTTATCAAAAACTCTAGACCAGAAGCTAATGAAGGTGGGTACCTGGGGGGCAGTGCCTGGGCACAGGGGCTTTCAGTGGCTGCTGCTTTTCAGAGCAGCTTTGCTGGGAAGGGTCTCACTGACCAATTGAGCTGCGTGTTGATGGACCCCTGGGAGAGCCTCAGGAATTAAATCTGTGCTTTAATGTCAGAGATCTCAAGCTTTGAAAGAGAACTTGAGTGAGTGTTCAATCAGAATGTCAGCAGGGTTTGGAAATACCCCCTGGTGCTGGATATTTCCAGCCACTCCAAACTCTGGAATGAAATATGAACATTTTAACATCCAGAGCCTGCGGTGTCTGTGTCACACCCCAGTGCTTGGGTTTCTGGGCATCTCTTGCACTTGATCATTTCACCTCTGCAGGACTGAGGGCTCCATTCAGAGTTCTGAGCTCAGCTCAGTCCCTGTTGCTTTCTTTGAGGGATTAAGACCTTTGTGTGTGGAGGGAAAACAGTCGATGTAACACCAGAGATCAATAAGTGATAAAGAATTCACAGCCGGGCCTTCAAATAGCTTAGTCCAAATCTTTAATCCTCGGTGTGCTTTGAGGGGAAAACCAAAGCCAGGGAATCGGGAGTGTTTCAAAGGGGGAGATGCAAAATATTTGTGAAAGAGCTGAGGAACAATTTGGGATTTTGTGGGGTGTGCTGCCCTCTGCTGTTGCATTCCAGAAACATCCTGAGGACTCTGGTCGTGGCTGTTCGCTGAGCATGTGACATTAAACAGATTATGTTTAAATGTATATAAACCCCAGCATAGCTTAATTCCAATTCTAGTTCTTAATTCTAAGCCAGTTAGGCACAGTCTTAAGGAACTGACATAAGCCACTTCTTAAACCAAAAATAAACCCTTGTGGACAGCCTTAGAGTATTTTAAATTAGTGTAAACTCGTGTATTAACCAGCTTTTAAATAACCTGCATGTGTGTGGGATATTTAAAGGGATTCTGGTTCAGTTCCAGTGTTCCTGCTGACCACAAAGCCACCTCCAGCAGTGCTGGTACCACAAACACTGCACGGGGGGTTACAAACCCCTCAGTGTATGGGCTGGTATCAATATTATCAGTGAGAATCTACCTTGTTCTTAAAAAAAACCCCTTAAATCTCCCCCTGCAGCCTTAGAACGTGGCCTCTTGAAAACCCTCCAGAAACTGGACGAGTACCTGAACTCGCCCCTGCCCGACGAGATCGATGAGAACAGCATGGAGGACGTGCCCGTGTCCACCCGCAAGTTCCTGGACGGCAACGAGATGACCCTGGCAGACTGCAACCTGCTGCCCAAGCTGCACATCGTCAAGGTGAGGCCTTGGAGGGGCTGGGAGAGGCAAGGGTGAAAGATTTATGGCATGTGATGTTCCAGAGCCCAGCTAATCCCAGCTGTTCGTAGGCTCCCATGTAAGTTTTTAATTACGGCACGAACAGCACCTGAAGCGAGGTTTGGGTGGTGCACAAGGGGGCTGGAGCAGTTGGATTCAGTGGAGGGGGGCGAACCTGTAGACAGAGGGTGAAGTGGTAGAGCCCAAATCCCTTTTCCTGCCCTGGTCACAACAGGCAGTTTGCAGTGCTCAGGTCAGCGAGGTGGAAGGAGGAAGGTGGGGATGAGGTGAGCAGCTGATGGTGGGAGTGGATGACTGCTCACTCCTGTAGGGAAAACTGCCCTGTGTGCAACCAAAGAAATGACACAAGGTGAAATAAAAGGACTGTATTAAAACACAGGGAGTTGGAAGTCCAGGAAGAGGCGGCCTGGGATAACCAGAGGAGTGCAGGTGTGTCTGTATGGCCGTGGTTTGGTTTCTCTCCCTGTCTCCAGGGACCTGTGTCAGTTCTGTACTGCAGATGGAGCCACAGATCCACTTTCTGCCTGGGTGCAGAAGCGTTTCCTTGGCTGAGGACAAACCCAGAGGGAGCTGCCAGGGCCGGGTGTATCCCTGAGGAACAGCTCCTGCTGGCTTTAGCAATGACTCTGAGTGCCCTGCCTGGAAGGACAACCCCACAAGAGAGTGACCAGCGACAGAAAAGTGCTTTAAGTTGGAAGATGCAAATTCATAACCCGATTCTTTTTCCTTTTAGGTGGTGGCCAAAAAATACCGCAACTTCGAGATCCCCAAGGAAATGACAGGGATCTGGAGATACCTGACGAATGCTTACAGCAGGGATGAGTTCACCAACACCTGTCCTGGAGACAAAGAAATTGAAATAGCCTACAGTGATGTAGCCAAGAGACTCACCAAGTAATCAGCACTTGCAAAAGGATGACTTCCTGCATATTCCATAACAATGCTTCTAACAGACTGCTCCTTCCAGATAAGATATAGCAATTTTTTTTTTGTTGGTTTGTTTTGGTTTTTTTTGCATGAACTTGCAGTTATTCAAAGTTACGGTGGATAGACCAGGTACAGTAATTACCTAAAGTTTGCAGAGTTAATTATAGGCTCGTTTTTCCTTCCCTCCTTTGAATACCATTCATGCAGTCGTGTTGCACTGAGGGAACTCTGGATTCTCCAGTGTGAAAGGATTGCCTTGCCCCTCTTGCTTTCCTCTGTAAACAGTTGGTCCCTGTCCATGAGTTGGTTTAGGACACTGTCTCGCTGTATGGTACAAGGAATATTTATGTATTTTGGAATTTATTGCTTTTTCCAGAAGATCTGTACACAGTTGTCAGTACCCGTGACACGTTGAACTGTACCTGCTTGTCTATCCTATTTACATAGAGAAGGGAACTTATTATCCAAAAGAGCCATTTGCAGAATGTTTGGCGATTTTGATGTTAAAAAAAAGAAATAATCTCTTGGATTTGAAGTCACCGTAGTGGTTGAGAATGGACTCGATGTGGAGCTTGGATCTGAAGGACCTCAGCATCAGGGAAGTTGGAATTTTAGGCTTGAGTGCTGTAGCAGGAAGTTCAGAGTTGGTTCTTTTAGTTGTGTCTTCAAGAGCCTGATGAGACTCAAACAGCTCCTTCTGTCCTGAATTCTGAGTCGCAGCAGAAAAACACTCGTCGGAACAGCCTTGGCCACCAGGAAACGGCACAACTGGAACCCGCTCACCCGGAAAACTGCAAGTGGTTTCTTTTTGGTAGTTAAGAGCCTTTGTTTTGTATAGGTCTTTTTGGTGATATTTACTTAAAAAAAAAAACCAACCTGTTCTGTCATAAAACCAAGTCCATGTAAACTGTAGCGTCCTAGTTGTGAATAGCAGTGCAATGGTTAGTGATGTGCAAAATGCCCCGAGAGCCACGACCTGGGAACCTTTGGGCAACTTTTTTATGCTCTTTTTTTTTTTTTTTTTTTTTTTTTTTTCTCAAGAAAGCTGAAGTGACCTTTGAAAGACAACACTTGCCTTAAATTTTAGTATGCAGGCCTGGATATTTTTTTTTTCTTTTTTCCTGAAAGGAAAAAAATCTGTTGATGACTTTTGTAAAGAAGTGGTGGGGGGGGGTTGGTGGGTGGGATCCAGTCCTTTCCCATGGAATTCATCCATGTGCACCTGGACTGCAATTTTGCATGCTCATAATCATTGCACTACTATGCAGAACCTTTTTACAGCAACGCTGAGGGAATAGCACTACAATTTTTTTAAAGAACAATTTTCAAATGTTTCTAAACCAGGGAATAGTTTTCTTGTTTAAAATTAGTGATTTTGATGCATGAAGTGAACTGCTAGGTTATTTTTAAAAGACCATCATAAACAACTCCAAAGAATGCTAGACTTATATGCCTATTTTTTTGTAAAGATACTTTTATATTTAACTGATTTTAGAAGCTGGAAAGTGCTATTCCTGCTAGGTTGTTTCTTGAAATATTTAACATTCTGCAATAACGTGGAAAATGCTCACATAAACACTTTTATACACTAATTTTTTTTTGGTAAGCACTGGCTTTCTGAAAACCAGCCTGACTTTTACAGGCCCTCCTGCTTTTTGCTACTTTATATACCCGTGGAGTTAGTTTGACATAGAAGAGGTAGAGAACCAGATCCATATTTGTATCCATGGCTTGTGGTGCCTTGTCTTGCCTTCCTAGAGCTACAATTCCAGTATAAAGGCAGTTAGTAAATCCTGTCACTTGTCTTTCAAAGGCAACGGTATTAGATACATTCAGACCCTGTTCTGGTTTATTGCAGGGGTGTTCAGGCACAGAAAGGAAGTTCTGCAGAGTGACCTGGTTAGGAAAACCTAAACTGTAGCCTTTTAATAATCACTGTATTCTAATGTCACGTTCTCCTCCTGAATAAAGTTGCTCAGCCATAATAATCCTCTGTAGGGGCTCAGTCTTTGCTGCAACGTGACATCTAGAACAAGGAATGTCTTTTTTTTTACTTAGATAACAACATTTTTAGTGACTGGAGAGGGTAAAAAACAAAAACAAACCCAACAACCCCTCCCAGCCCTCACTGGTTTGGTGCTCTTTGCCATCGTAGCTCACCTTTACAAACTAAACTGTAGGAAGCAACAGTTGGGGGCATATTTACAAAAAAACAGATGAGCTGGCCCTTGGAATTTGTAGGAAGGGAGGTTCAGGAGGCCTTTGCCAAGCAGGTCAGCCGTGCTGTGCCCACCGTGGGGCTCGGGCACCGGGCAGGGCTGGCAGCACCAAATGCTCGTGGTTTCTGGGGAGCAGCTGCTGCAAACACCCCCCCCCCAGCTCCTCAAACACCCCGTGGGAGATAAAACATCCTCTCTCTGCTTTTTAGGCAATCTCCAAGCCCTTGTAAGTCGGTATTGTAAGGATTGTGTGTGAGAGCTTGTAAACAAAGGCAGAGCTCTGGCTGGGACTGATGTGTTTCTTATCTCCAGGCTGGCTGGTAACTGTCCTGTGTGAAAGCACCAGGGCTGTCCCTCGGGCCTCCTGCTGCACAGTTTTGTTGTGGCAGGAGCTGCCCAGCCCCTCCTGGCTTCGGGAGAGAGCAGGAATGTCCTGGAGAGGAGCTTGCTCTCTCCTCCTTAGGTGATCCCTGCAAGAGCGTCTGGTGTGGGCAGAGCACTTTCATCTGGCCCCAATCACCAGCTCCACATTAATTAAAAAAAGCCCTTTCATAACTATGTAAATTCTTGACTTCTGTCAACTTGTTTACAATCTGATCTTTAAATGCATTTTTAATTTCATCAAACAGCAATTAATCTGCCCCCCTGTTTAAATTTAAAATGCTGCTTCAAGCCCCTTGTACAATTTAAAAACAGCAGTTACCCTTTCAAGTTGGCATTCCAGTTTGCAAGTTGGTTGCATGTATTAGCATGCTGAATAACTTACTTTATTCTCAAGCTGAAATATGCTTAAATTCGCATTAGAACAGGTGACTTGTGTATTTCCTGAACACAAAGGGAAAATCCATCATCTGCACCCTGTTTTTTGTGTGGGAGAGCAGATTATCCTATATATGCATGATTAGGGTTATTTTGGTGTTTTTTTTTTTTTCCCCTTAACAAAGCTTTCCTTCTCGAAGAGATCCCTTCTGTGGAAGGGCAGGTGAACTTCATGGAGCAATTCCACACCCTCCAAAGCCTCCCTGTCCACCTCTTCATGGATGGACGTCCCACACCACACAGTCCCTGCCTTGGAGCTTTTTATTTTCCCATAAAATTGCTGATTTTTTTATTTTATTTCCACAGTGGGCATGCCTGGACTGCGTGCAGCTCCGTGATAAGAAGAGAGATGTAATCAGATTTTTATGCTAAAGTAGCAAATTAGCATTTGGTATCAAAGGAGCACAGACAGGAATAAATCGAGGCCGCTCGAGCCAAACCCGCCAATGCCTATCTGAGCTCCCAACAAAAAACGTGGCGGAGCACAAAGTCAACTTTGCTGGGCTCTTCTGCCACTCACAACTCTCTGAACACATCCAGGGAATGTTTGCAGGAGGAGGCTTTACCCCCCCAGCCAAAAAGAAATAGCTGATCTGCCTCAGAAGCTGTGCCACCAGCTCCTCACACCTCGTGCTTCGGGAGGAGGTGGGAGCAGAGCTGGGATCCCCAGACGGGACGTGGAGGATCGGAGCGTTGTTTGCAGAAATACTTGAAGAGTTGATACAATTTATTGTAGTTTTGCTTAATGTCTTTCACTCTCTGGAACATCTTTTACGGATATACCAGTATACTGCTGGCAGCTATTGTTAAATAAAATTATATTTTCACTACCAAGCAGATCTTTCTCTTATTTCTGCGTGATGTTTTTGTGACGTTTCCCCGAGAAGTTCCTAGAAATGAACCGGCACTTGGTTCCACATTTCTGTGTCTTACAGAGATGGTTCCAAAATGGGAGCAATGCCCTGATTTACCTGCATTCCTTCAGCACTTCATGGAGCTCCAGTTTTCTTACTGCAGGGGCTGAAGCACAGCATTCGAAGCTCAGCATTTGCTAAAAGCTTCACTTGTGTCAACTGTGCTGTGAAAATTCCAGAAACCATTTTCTATATTGTTTTCCCAAGGAAAATGCAGCAGCTGAAAGGCTGGGGAGACCCTGGAAGGGCTCTCGGACACTGGTTACGGTGGGAGCTGAGTGGGAGCTGAGTGTCTGAAGGGTTTTGCTGCCTCTGAAAGTCTCCAGGAGAAAGGGTGGATTCAGTGACTCACTGATCATGTTTAACTGCAGTGGCTCCCAAACTCTTCTCAGTGGATCACGGGAGGCCAAGGAGAGCCTTTGATGGGCTCACAGAGCAGGGGATGGTGTTAAACAGGGTCCATGAGGAGCAACCGAGTTTTTAATCACAAACATTTAGGAGCTGCTGCTCCAGGCCTTGGCTTCACTGAATTCACTGCAAAGCAAGATTCCCTGGATCTGGTGACTGATTCACTCCTAATGCTTGGGTTTGGGAGGGGACTCCTGAAGTCCATAGGCAGAGTGAAAACAGTTTAATCTCCAGCGGGATAAAACGCAGCAGCTCGGGCAGTGACAAAGTGTTTCAGTCTGGGTTAGAGTTCCTCCCAAGGCTCCCAAAAGTTGTGGTGTCTGAGCAACTTGGGGTCGTGATGGCTGTGTTCAAAATGAGGGAAATTGGTCAAGTGTTGGGAGGTAATTCCCGAAAATTCTTGGCTTGAGGTGGCAGCCAAAGCCTGGCTGGTGGTACCTGTGAACGAGCAGCCCTGCAGAACCTCCTGCCCTTGGCCTGCCTAAATTTGGGATGAGCTCTCAGAACTGACTCTGGACGGTTTCCAGAGCTGGAAGAAGAGAACTCATGATTCTTTGACTCAAGAGGAGAGAACTGCTGCCTTCCTACCACCGGCCAGAGAGATGAAAACAGTCGCTAAAGGAAGATCAAACGTGAACTTTATAAATAAACAAACAGAGCCGATGCTAAGGGACGTCTCAACTGCTTTGCCCGCGGCGAAGGGCTTGGCAGGACCCAGGAGAACGACTTTGTCAGTTTGCACATGGAATTCTTATTTTGAGGAGCCTGATTGGAGCGATAGTGCTGCTCCTAACGAGTCTGAGGGCAGCGCTGGTTGAAAACGCCCTCCCCTGTCCACGCGTCGGGCCGGGCAGGAATCACTGACGGGGCTGAGCTCTGGGGGTAGAACGTGGCAACGTTTGAAACGGGCTGTGATCAGAAAAGCTGATTGTGAGAAGCTTCTGGGAGCACTCAAACACTCCCAAGGCAGCAGCAGGTTTGAGAGGGTGCCAAGCAGGGAGCTTACTCAACTGCGAGCGGCGCCTGCCCGGCCGAGCGCGGCAGCGCAGGGCTTGCTTTGATCTGCTGTGCCTTTCAAGCCTCCCTGTTCCCGTTGGGGAGAAGGGACTGTTGGCTCACGGAAGTGGGAATCGCTTGAGGAGTGGGGGAGCAGAAGCCAGAAAATAACCTAAAAATACCAGCTGGGAACAGGAAGCTTTGTTGGTCAGACCGCCCAGGGCAGCGGTCACAGCACCAAACCTGCCAGGGCTCGGGAAGAGTTTGGCCAACACTCTCAGGCGCGGGGTGTGACCTCGGGGGATTGTCCTGGGCAGGGTGAAGAGTTGGACTGGATGGATGACTCTTGTGGGTCCCTTCCAACTCAGAATCCTGTGACTCTGTGACTCCTGCCCAGCACTCAGGCTGGACTCTTGGCTCTGCATTCCCAGCTGGATCTCCCATCCTTGACAGCTTCTCCTCCTGTTTCTCCCTTGGTTCCATGCCCCCCACTGCTGCAGCCT